CATTCGCAAGGGCTCGGATCCGGCAAAGGTCCCCCTTTCGCCCTTGGATCTCCGATAAATCAGATCACCTACCGCAGTGGCTCTGCACCGCAATGAAATCCCCTTTCCAGCGAGCCCCGAGAATTGGAGGCATCCCTTTTCCAACGGGCTCAGAGACTTCGTGAAATCTCCTTTTGCAAGAATTCTCTCCTAGGAGGAAACACCGATAGGAAGAAAAGAGACCAGCAAGTGTGGGAGCTCGTACGCAAGAGCACTTCCATTGGGGGGGGGGTCCTGAAAGTCGCTGAGATTTCCATAACGCGTCCTCTGACCTTCAGTAGGTCCCTTCTACGCTATCTTTGGAAAGCAAGGAATCATCATTCGCAAGGGCTCGGATCCGGCAAAGGTCCCCCTTTCGCCCTGGATCTCCGATAAATCAGATCACCTACCGCAGTGGCTCTGCACCGCAATGAAATCCCCTTTCCAGCGAGCCCCGAGAATTGGAGGCATCCCTTTTCCAACGGGCTCAGAGACTTCGTGAAATCTCCTTTTGCAAGAATTCTCACCTAGGAGGAAACACCGATGGAAGAAAAGAGACCAGCAAGTGTGGGAGCTCGTACGCAAGAGCACTTTACCAATTTGTGGTGAGGGCGATTATTGAAGTTGCTCCCGTTCAATAAGGTCCCTTCCACGCCATCATTGTATCCCCCTTAGGTAAGAACCCTCGCAAAAGGGGATTCCATCAAAGTTCGCATTCTGAGAAGGGGACCCAGCCAAGTAAGCAGTCCCTGGAAAGGGGATATCAGCGCGGCGCGGTCCAGAACCGGTGCGGGATCACATCGATCGCGACATCAAAGGTGAAGGGGAACCTTTTCGCGGATCCGAGCTCTTGCAAAATCGATTCCATCCTGTCGTTGATCGCATGAAAGGAACCTTGTTAATGGCCGAGGATGCCCTAAGGGAATCCCAACGTTTTTTAATGATATTATGATAGGTTTAGGTGATATTGGTATGCTGTGCAGCACTGATGCTCATCGACTGTGCTCGTCTACGCTCAGAGCTCAAGCCTTCTTGGAGAAGTTATACAGAGACGCGATGGTGGTCGTCCTCCCCCTCCCCTCAACCAAGTCAGCGCAGAATTTTTTTTTTGAAAACGGTACGAACCAGAAGAAACAGTTATGTCAAGGGTGAAGTGAATGGGTGTCCTGCTGCCGGCGATCCCTTCAGGGTGTCGGAGCGTTACTTCCCCGTCGCGCATCGCAGTGAACTTCACTTGGGAGGTGGAATCGAGGCGCAGTACCGCTCTCATGTTCTATGCTGTTGCATATGCTGCAGCCTGCTTGCGATGCGCATTTCGCAGCGATTGGGAAGTAAGCTTCACCCTTTTCATCCCTCAGACGCAACCCTGGAGAGTGGCCGCCAAGCCACCGTGATCGTTTGCCTTCCTCGCGTTGGAAGGTATTTTGCTAAATGCGAACTCCTGAATTTCCTCTTCGTTACGACTCTTCACCAAGTCGGCAACCGTTTTAGCGCACCTTCCGAAGACTTTAGCGTCGAGCAGAATGGGGGAGGGGCAGTTGAGCAGGGTGGGGGGGCGAGTGGCAGACAGCTCTTGTTAACTATCAGAAATAATAGTTTTGCGGCGTCGCCAACCAAGGCGGGAGGATGAATAGCACTCAGATGGAACTGGAGAAATCAACAATCAACACAAATCTCATTAGGCCAGATATGACCACCCCCCAACCCAAGCGACCATATAAGACCCCACTGAGGATCCCACACCATGACCCGCTAACACCCAACCGCTCAACAACTTGGTGAGACTCAATGAGGTCAGTTTGTCTGCAGTCAAGTGTTAACCAATTTAAACGTGACTTAACATGTTCACACTTGTCTCAGTCTAGATTACACTGGAAATGGTCAAGTAAAAACATGTTATACGCGTTAGACTTAAAGTGCATGAGGACATTCGAATCGATTCCTGAGTGCGCACAGCTTCATCGATTGAGGTGTGGTTCTTCTTGCATTCTTATTTTCCCATTTTTATAAACTTAATCGCTTCATTTTTCTCAAGATCACCTTCTTCATAGTTAGAGAACCACTCAAACGCTTGTTATAATACATCAGCGCCTTTGCTGACATAACCTCGTCATCCGGGCAGTTGATTAGGGCGGTCGTCAACGGGCCGCAGCGCGTGCCAGGAACTATTTGCTTTTTCCAGGCTAATTTAGTCATTTTTTCCACCTTGTGAAGATAAGGAGCTGCTAATCTGGGAAAAAGTAGCCAAAACAGTGAAAAGTTGGAAAAAATGACTAAATTAGCCTGGAAAAAGCAAATAGTTCCTGGCACGCGCTGCGGCCCGTTGACGACCGCCCTAATCAACTGCCCGGATGACGAGGGTATGTCCAATCGTGCCGAATATCTGCAAAGTACGTAAATTCTTGCGAATCGTCGATGCTTGTTCTTGTTCTTGTTGCAAGCGACGAGAAATTAACCTGGTAAGGGCCAGGAGTATCTGAAAATGAGCTTAGTAAGTGAGCAGAACAGGGGACGGTGCCAAGAAACGACCGTAAAAATTGTTGCCCAAGCTCAAAGGGGGCAAGCGGCGGGGCGAGTGAAGAAATTCTTTGAAGAAATTGTTGACTGACTTCGAGATTTACGGGACTCTACAAGGTGGCCCGCTATTTGACAGACGAAGCGAATGCCTGCGAATGCCTAATGCTTAACAAATTGCTTCACATTACACTGGAGCTGCCACTCGAACTGTCTACCACTCAAGCTGACTGTTTGCTTTGCTTACTTGACAATACCTTCTAGATTACCACCGGTTACTTTTCTAGTTCTCTTGTTCGTTAGCTTCCAGTTCCACGTGACCAGCCAATTGTTTTGAACGCTAGTTCACCAAAACAGTTTATTTCGTACGATCTTGTCAGTTAATATGGGCCTCATCTGTCCTGTGAAGGTGTTGAGGCTACAAAATGCTTTCAGTTCTACTTTCACGTCATTCTTTGAATTTCTTGAGTAAGCACGGCAAACGTTTTTGCTACCTGGTGAAGGGAGGGACAAGGCTGTGAGAAGAAATTAGGACACAGAGCGTGAGAGTTTTTGCCGTGGCCCAGAGGGGAAGAAGTTCTGAGGTGACTGATGCAACTCCCTGAACGGAAGGGTTTTCACATCTCGTAAGTAGTTACTTGCCTTGGGGTCTCACTTAACAGGCGCTTCATAAGACTTCAAAAAATGACCCAGCATGTTTCAAGGCTGTGGGTAGGGTTCACCTTATACTCTAGTTCGCTGCGGACGGTTGGGCGTGTCAGGCAGTATGAGTGTGTCACGTCAAAGCCGTTCTCTGCCTTCTTGTTGAAGCGCGCATGCGACAAAAAGTGGTAGAAAACGAGTAATACGAACGATATGATACAGTCATATCACTTGCTCGCTTTAACAACTGGTGGAGAACGGGTTTGGCACCGCGCCAAACTCATCCCGCCTGACACGCCCAACCGCAGCAACTACACTATAGTTATATTCAAGGAGCCACTTGAGCTGGTGTCCTTCAAGGTGTTCTTTTCTCCACTTATGATCTATGTTTTATAGATAGCTGTCGTAGTCATTATAACAAGTATAAACTAATTAAATAACATTTAAATCACATTATAATCTTGAGTCCAATAACTGGCTATTTCCCTGATATTTCCTTCAAAGTTCTCAGTTTTTGAGAACCGCTAATTGACCTAGAAATGGCCGTAAAGTTCTGTCAGGTTTTAGGATGCAGGCTAAAGACGAGCCATTGGAAGTTGGAGTGTGTCAACTAAAACAATGGCGTGATCGTTGCGCTGAAAAATATCCTGATCTAAAGAATGCCCTCGACGAATGCAACGCAAGAGTCAGTTCACGCAAGGAAACCGCTGAAACATGCGTTCCAGGTTAGTGAACTTTATTGGACTCTCATGGATTATTTACTCATTTACATCCACTTCTTTTCTGACTTTCACAATACAGTTACTATCCCTACAAATAAGAGGGCTTGTGAGGGGGCGTGTATTGGAGCGCACCCAGGGCCAACATGCACCAATGCATGCCATTCTGAGCCCGCAACAACTGGCGGAGGTGATGATAATGAACCACCTTCACGTGGCCCCTTATATTCTGAGAGAATAACCATACTTCTCGACCAGTTAATTGCAAAAACACTGCAGAAAATGATTGAAACTGATTATTGAATAAATATTTCCACCTGTCAACCTCGAAAGGGACAAAACAAGTTGAGAAGTGCAGACAATTTTTTTGTGATTCTGATCTCTGTCAGTGTTTGTAGTTCTAGCCTTGCCTGAAATAATCAAAACAGTGACCGTTTTGAACGTCTTACCTATGTGAAAAGTGCGAAAGCTCCTATCCTACCCGTACTCCTCTAACAGACCCTTCAATAAGATTCCCTATGAGCAACGTTATCGAGGACGAGAGGACGACAGCAAAATTCACCGCCCAAAACTCACCAAGTCAAACTCACTTGGCTACTTTTCTC